TTGACCCCCCCCCCCCCCCCCAAAAAAAAAAAAATTTACTGGGAAAAATAAAAAGAAGAAAAAAAAAGAAAAAAACCCATATCCTCAAACCAGATGAGGTGAGCAGCCCCCAAATGCAGCAAGCCTGATTCCAAGCCCAGATAAACAAACACAATGCCATTAAAACAGCAATTCCTCCAGAGACAAGCTGAGGACTTGCTAAGGGTGACATCTGAACAAAAACAGTTGAGAAAGGAAAGAAGAAAATACAAGGGGAAAAAGAGAAGTCCTTTTAACAGGATTGGGCCTTTTCAGGAAAAGAATCAATAAAGAAAAGTCTCATCACAAGCGGGATCAAAGCTACTGTGAAAGTCTGTCCGAAATAATAAGGAAACATCAGGACAAATGACTGTTTCAGACAGACATAATACAACTCTGTTCACCTTCCCAGGTGAAAACTCCTGCATGTTATACCCAATCTCTTTCTCTGGGGAGTGTACACATCATCTTGCTCATTTCTTCTATGAGTCTTGGTTACGTTAATCAGCTAGCCAAGTACGTATTTTACTGGAGTCTACACTACTCCAATTTTAGTTAGCGTAAGAGAACAGAGCTCTCTCAACAGATGATGCTCAAAAGAAAAATCAGTGTTTAATACCTTTGTTGTATCAGTCTTCAGTAAAAAGATGGAGTGAGTAGATGGCTAGCACATTTAGCCTGAGTGAGCAGTTCAAGTTCAGCCTGTTATAGGAAAAGAACAGGTTACAGAGTACTTAGGTAGTCTGAATACCTTCAGTTTAACTGGGCCTAATGGACTCATTCTAGGATACTTCCAAAATTAGCTAAAGCTATCACAAAACTGCAAGCTTATCTCAGACCTCTGAGTAGCTTTTGAGAGTCTGCAAAAATGTTTAAGAATGTTTTAGGCCCAGGTTGATATGGGACGATATTTACAACGCCACCTTGAGACAGTAAAACAGAGCAGGTGTCATCCCAACGTGCCTTCCGGATCTTATTTTCTAAAATTCTGCAGTTACCAGCATGCATTTGAACTGCCCCACTCCAGATATTCATCCTTCTTCCCCTCCGCATTCCAACACACATAGACTTCTTAGCAGGCTACAGCTGTCTCCACGGTCTCTCCAGCTACCTTCCTTGTTTGCAGCCATCCTGCTGTGGCTGCAGCCGTCCATTTAAAAGGGCAGGGCTTATGCTGCTGCTCTCCGGTCTGTCTGTGCAACAGTGCACCCAGATGTATGGAAGGTAACTATCGTAAAGCAGAGCAGGAATGTACAACCTTCCCTTCTCATGAACAACAAGCCAACAAGAGAACCGCACACTGATGCCCTGTCTCCTTGGACTCATACCAGTTCTGGAAAACATAAAAGCATTTTTTTCCCCGCGTGATAGTTGCTTGCTTTCTAGCTTTCACATTAGAACTCAAAGAGAACAAGGCTGAAGTCTAAACAGGCTCTCAAAGTTGAGCTGGTCTTCACAGTACTATTAGAAACCACCTACTTTACTCATTGTCATAGCATTTCCCCCTCCAGCTACACCTCTTCCATGCATACGGGAACACCAAGCCATGAGAGGGCAGCTAGTTGGCTTGGAAATGTGGCATTGTTTTTTGCATGACAATCAACATGTACTTTTCACATACCCAATAACTTTACTCATAGAAGCAGATAATGACAACTGCTTTCCTACCTATAGGATGGATACTACATGAACATTTAAACAAGTGAGAAAATATTTTTACTGTGTAAAGGCAAATACCAAAAAAGTAGTTAAGCTACAGCTTACAGGGTTAAAAGCCTGGACACTTGCTAAGTGTCCTTTTCTTACCATGTATAATGTAAGAACCATTCAAGACAACACTTTCAAAGGCACAGTGCTCCTACAACTGAGCTGCTGGGGCAGTGATTCAGAGGAAAGAGCAGCATAGGCTTCTGAACGAAATCTTGAAAATCTCACATCAAAAAAACCCCTAACTCTAAGCCTCCTTAGCTTGGGAATCTTCACTGGCCCATGACCCAAAAAGATCAGGCTGCTCACTACAGCTATCTTTATTCTGAACCTAAGTCATGAATTAAAATATCTAAGGAGGATTACTTTACGCTGCAAGGTTAATCAATGTATCTATCCATCTTGTCAAGTTTAGCAACAGTTGTTTCAGTGGCTGTGTTCAAAGTCAACCTTCCGCCGTCCCTGATTAAGCCGTGCTTGGCTTTTGATAAACCTGCACTGAGCTGCAAAATTCAAAGTGAAGAAGTGCTGGGCTCAAAGTCACAGGGTGATACTGCACTGGGCTAAGCAGATTCAGGGAGTTTGGTCCCCTCATCATCAGCATGACAGAGAATTCATTCATAAGAGAATTTGTTCAAATAAATTTAAGAAACTGGTCTTCCTCTATAATCAATGGAGGGAAACAAGCTTATCCAAGGGATAGGTCAGAGCTGGAGCATAACTTACACACATCTAGTGGAACCCACCACTGCTACTATGACTCCACCATCTAAGAATGTAAGCTTCCTCTTACATTAGACATCTTGATTATCCCCCAAATCCTTACTTAAAGCTCGACTCTTAGCTGAAGGAATTTGGTGCCTGTTATAAGGTACTTTGTAACTTCCAAAAATGGGCTCCAAATCTAGAATGATTAAAAAGGATGCTAGGGCAGAAGACCCTAAAATATTTTTTCACCTTCCTCTTATTATAATACATTGTTTAAAAATAAATTACATTACTTAAAGGTAATTAATCTGCAGATATTTTTCCCTTAGTGGTACACATGACCTTCATGTTTGTTAAAGAACTAAAACTTCTAGTTTAAATATAGATCTAGTTATACTTAATTTCATAATTTTAAATTCAGGTATATACATTTACCATACTGAATTTTACATGTTACAGGCACTAATACTGCAGTTTCAAGCTTCATATGGAGAAACATAAGAATACACATTAAAAGCACAGGAAACTTCTCCTGGAGCCTCATGACTTGTTCACCTTTCCCTACAACCATTTTTGTTTTAGTAACATGACAACCCCTTAGTACTTGCAATCAAGACCCTAAAGAAGAAGCACCGCTATCGGCAGCTGACGTGTAACTCAAGCTTTTATGCTGCATGCCATCATACTACACCACTGCAGAAGTGTGAGGTTATTGTTTTAGCACCGTA